TCTGAGGCAGCAAGGTTCTTCCAGCCGCCCTGAGAAGGGGCAAGGTCCATGAGAGATTGGCTGAGGGGATCCTTGATTTGCTCCTGGGCCTGCAGCGCCGAGTTGAGACGCCCCTGGTGAGGCGCCCAGTGCGATCGCCCCTTGGTCACATTGTTCTGCATCTTCTTGAAGTGGGAACTATCTCTGGTGTCAGCGACATCTCAGTTCGGATTTAGCAAATGAACGTACATCTCGCTGTTCTTGCCTCTAGGGCGAGTCTTGGCGCGCTGTTGTTCAGTGCCTCCAATAGCTTCGAGGGTGGCCCAGTCTAATCGGCAGCCTGCGAGAGGACGAGCTCCGTTGGACCACTTGGACTGGGAATCCTTGGTCCTCTTGTAGTCCTGGTGTGCGCTCCGAAGATCTCGCTCGTACTGAGCCTGGACATCGGTCATGGCAGCCATGATGCTTCTATATGTTCGAATTTGTACCGGAAGGTTCTGTAACGTGGCGTCGCCGGTCGCGTTTCTATGACAAAAGGCCCGGAGAGGTTTGGAGAGTGTAAACCTGAATCGACAAAGCTTGTGATCTCTGTCGATAGCAATAATAGTCTGGGCGATTTTGCTCGACACGTAGAATCGAAACACGGGTTGGTGCGGGAATTTGCTGGGAGGGAGATGACGGGAGATATAGGAGAGGTAGTCGAAGGAATCTCTGGGGTTATGCCCGTTTCGGTGCTCGGACTGACTTTGGAAGCAAGGCGGAGGCTAAGGCAAGGAAGGCGTGGTGCTGGGTAGCAGGAGAGGTACCCGAGCCTTGTGAGGTAATTGAGGTAATCGAGGTAATCGCTGTATTGGTATTGGGGCAGTAGATGCCGGGTGAGTCACCGGGCTGAAGGTTGCCGGGGATTACAGAACGCGAGGCCAAAAACGAAAGAGGCGCGGATGCGGGGAAGGTTACGAAACAGGGAAACCGGGAGCAAAATAGATCGAGACGGAAAGAAGGACGGGTATATGAGTCTGCACAGCACTTGTTGGCGCAAGCAGTTTAATGAAGAGGTGGGTGTTAGGCGAGTGATGCGGTTAGAATCAAAGACATATACAAGAGTACAGGGTTGGGGCAGTATGAATGTAGATAAGGTAGTTGAGGAACAAAGGCAAGACGAGTCAGAAGACGAAGGCCCGGGTTGCGGAATTCCTTGGGTATATACCTTGAGACCAGATGGCTCAGGTATCCTTACGTTATCAAGGCAAGTGCTGGTCACAAGGGAAAGCGGCACGGGAGGCCAACAAACCGGGCTGAGGCCTGGGACGGGACGAGACGAAGGAAGTCGAGGACGGAAGTTGAGGACGAGGCACGAGGGGGAGGAAGATGGTAGTGACGAAACGGGACGAGATCGAGCTGCCTATCTCTCGGGTTGTCTCGGGGTGCTTGCTTGGGCATCTTACCGCATCCATGCATGACCTGGACTTTCGTTCTTTTCATCATATCCGTTCCTAACTAAGGTAAGGTAAGGTAAGGTACCTTGAGGATGGCAGCGGGCTTATCGTCTCGGCTCAGCGGGCATGCGGGCGATAAGAATACCGATAGGTGAGGTAAGTAGGTGGTTGTGCAGCATGATAAAGCTTGGGGCGTGGCTAGAGACTGTCGGACATCAAGTTGGAGGGGTGTGTGCATGTGGCACACGCAGCACGGGGCTGGCGGTCCTCCAGCACACTGAAGATGCTGCAGAACATGCTGCAGCTGGTCCTGTTTTTGGCCGAACTGAGTCGACTCCTCCAATCAAATCAGCTGGGCAAGCCGGGGACGGCTACCCTGAGGTACCTACGACCTCATCTGCCTCATCTGTACCCAGCAGCGTGGGGGACGACGGGGGAGGGGCTGAATAGGGCGTAAATGGGCGAGTGCGACTGGTGACAACTGCATGCAGCTGCGTCTGGCTGCGGTCTGCGGTCTGGAGCGTATCAGTCAGTCAGTCATCAAGGATGAACCAGTCACGTCGCCGCCAGCCAAAGTGATGTCATCCGCACCGCCCATTCAAAGTCGACACGGGCGTCAGCAGCGCCAGCGCCGACTCCAGGCGCATTCAAGTGCCTCCTGACGAATACCCAGAGGGCGCAGGGTGTATGCCTTCATTTCCCCAACTTCGCCCCTGACCAAGACACGCGCGTGGGCTCGCCGATGACGATGGGTCGACCGTCTACGGATACCTACTCCACAATATCCGGCCTGCTGCTGCTGCCTTTCCGTCAGCTGGCAACCCTTTGCCCACCTGACAGACTGTGCTGCTAGGCTGCCCTGCACCGCGCCCGTCAACACATACATACCTTCGGTACCTAAGTAGGTAGTAGATGCCCCCCATCCCACCATCTACTACTGATTAGGTACATACCTAGGTTGCGACGCGCAGGCTGCATGTCACTGGTCAGTCATACGGCCTTTCTCAGCCGCTCTTTTTTCCTTCCCAACCCAACACAAGGCTTTCCGACATGCGCTGCGTTTCTGCCATCGCAGTTCCTTTCGGTTTTTGACAGACGTTATTGGTCTTACGTTTTCGTCATTTATGACGTCTGATACAAGAAGCATGCCTGGCTGGTTGGCCCTCACGCCCTCAACCCGTGAAACGCAAAGACACATAGTCGCTTACGTGATGCATTTTCTCTGTGATGGGCTACATATGTAGGATCACATGACCATAATCGGCCACCCACGAGCCAGAAGCAGATCCAAGCACAGCCGTGCTGTGCTATTGCTTTCTTCCGTCTTACCTACGTTCGAATGACCTCAAGTGCGGTTCGGGCTTCATCGGTTCCTGGGCCGTCTGCACTTCCCAGGGCAGGAGGCGGTGCTGCCGCTCCCGGGCCCAAGTTCCAAGTCCCAAGCCCACGATGCGACGCATTGATCACTCTTCGTCTTGGCAACCACAATCCCGAGTCCCGTCTCTCCTGGGGAGGAACAACCTACGCCAGGACGCTCGTCCTCCTCTGCCACAACTTTCCTGATCCGTCTGCACGATTCAGGTCGCTCAATCTAGGGTTTTGAAGCATCGAATGTCGACGTACCATCGCCGGCTTGGCAACCGTGGAAGGTCTTCGTCAAAACAAAATCCACCAAGCGATGCTATTCCAACAGCTACGGGCCCGGTGCGACCTTCCAAGTATTCATGTGAATGGAGTCACTTCCTCCAATTTCACGTTGTCTAGTCAATGGCCTCACAGTACTTGCGTTCTGCTATGAACGAGCCGCGGCGGACACTCGAAGCCATAGAGTGGTCAGGACACCAGTCACCCGTCCATACCGCCAGGATGGACTCGCGCTGTGGCGGTGATGACATCCGCCACTCGTACGTTTGTTGCTACAGGCCAAACCTGCGTGGGCACTAACACACGCCGAATATTATTGACAACCAAGACCATGGCCCCGTAGCTTGGATAAAGATAGGACTGCCAGCGGAGTATAGCGAGCAGACTGATAGGGCGCAGTCGGCCAGCAGCCCAGGAAGTGGCCACCGGCGCACGACGGAGGAAACGGTAGCATGTTGCGAACTCATTGACGCATATTCCATCATCAAGCCTATCAAGCTGACTGGATCTCTGTAGATGATGGTGTATCTGGGGATGAAAAAATGTGGCGCACCATCCTAGACGGCCCCCGTCTGCATCTCATCAAAAGGCTGCGTGAAGCGACGGCTGGGTTCGCTCTTTGTGTCGTGGCTCTCGCTGAGATTCATGGACACAGCTAGGCCTGGATGCCAGGAGAAGGAAGACGGCCTTCGAAAGCTGAACTCGTTTCTCAGGCTTGCCGCAGCTTCGCACTGACCCGTCAAGTGTGGGGGACGTGGCTGATTTCATGTTTATTTTTGCAACCGATTCTGGCACTTGGCTTAGCTGAGGAAAGCTACGACGCTAGAATGCACATCTTCACTTGTTTCACGTTCTCTAATAAGCGACAAAGGGGGCATCAGAAAAGTTAGTAGGTCACCTCGACCTTCATGATGAAAATGGCTTCACTTAGCAGGCCAGCCAAAAGGGGTATCACCCGAAGATCTCTGGGATAGTTGCAGCAGAGAAGTTAAAGCACGCGTTCGAGAAAGCGTTGGCAGCGCTCACCTGATGGTGGCGGTCTTGTCTTGCTTGTTCAGCATGAACCGGATATGGCTAGTCGCAATAGGACGGTGCACCACAACCTCATCTCTTTTTGCCACACCTCGTGTTGTCTTGTTTCGAGTTGCGTTGAATGAAAGATTCAACGACTCGGCCCGCTCTTCTTTCATTGTTTGTCCTTTTACGCCTTTCCTAAGCCGACATTTTCTCGACTTCTGCAGACCCTTAAAACCGCGAACCTAACCTTCTCCTCCTGACAGACAAAGACGAAGGGCCGGTTTTTAACCCTCCAACACATACTCGATGGCCCTTTGTGTATCCCTGTGACCACATGGCGGTAACTGTTTGTCTCGAAGCCACTACCAAGTATTCGGGCCATCAAGCCACAACGCCCTTCTTCGTCAATTAGCCATGTGGGATTTCTTGTTCGCTTGGCAGGACGTTCGTCTCCACAACGCTTCTTCATCGGGGGGAACAACGCTCAACGTCCAGGTCGCGAGGCGGTCTTTAGCGTTCTCACGAATCCTACGTAGCAGTTCAAGCTGGCCCCCATGCTTTGTCCAACGCCAAGGACCCATAATGCTCCTCCTCTACGCCTGAGTTAGTATGGCAAGGCACTGCGTCTGAGCCATCTACCAACTGCTTACCCGCCAGGTAGCTAGACAAGTGTCCGATGCTACACCAGAGGTGAAGGCCCTGCGAAGAATCCGGCTCTGCCACTAAAGTGTGCCAGTAAGATACCAGTATCAAGGCACAGTACATAGATATATAAACCATTTCGTCTCCTCCCTGTTCCTAGAAAATGCTCCATCACTCTCAACATCATCTTCGGCTTTGACCCCTAGTCTTTCTTTCTACTCCTCTCCAGAGGAGTGCCTTTCTTTCTCACTAGACATACCAACTTGGCTGTACATCATCAAAATGTCTTTCACCTTACTGCGCCTTCTGGGCCTTGCCGGCGCTGCCCAGGCGGCATGCTCCAACCTTGTTATCGATAACTTCTCACGATCTACCGTTTCCGGTAGCAACAATCTCGATGCGTGGACCAGCGAAGACACTTCCATGTCAAAGGCCGCCATCAACAAGGGCATTCTTTCGTTTACACCAAAGACAGACAGTTCCTCTTACTACTACGAGACTCTCGGCTGTGTTAAGGCGGCCACCCAAGGCTACAATGCCCTCTCTCTGACGGTCAAGGGACCTAAAGATGCCTCCATGATGCTGGAGATACAAACCAAGGCATCTTGTGCAGATGATAACTACAACAGCCAGTGGGTCCAGATCAACGGGTTGACTGGCTCGACCCAAAACATCTCTATCGCGCTATCCTCCTTCACAAACGCCAACTTGGACGCAGTCTCAGCGTTCGTCTGGTCAACCTATTCCAAGTTTGACATTTATCAGTTCAGCAATCTCCAATTCACCTGCAGCGGCGGGTCGAATCCCCCCGTTTCGACGGCCCCAGCCACTACCACCATTGGTAGTTCTGTGTCGACTTCTCGCTCTGTTGCGGTTTCATCTTCAACAAGCGTGGCGACACCCACTTCTCGCGCTTCCTCTGGCTCAACCTCATCCTTCGCTACCTCGGTACGATCGCCAAGCTCCACGGCCGTCTCAGTTGTCCCAACGGGCCCGTCATCTCGTACGTCTGCTTCCTCATCCCGCCAGATCAAATCTCCTTCAAGCTCTCGTACATCGAACGCTTCTTCGTCAACCGCGCGCGCAACTACTTCGAGATCGTTGTCTCTAACTTCCGTCTCAGCCTCTACTGTCCCCACCGCGTCTGGGTCATCGAGCATTCGCTCTTCGACTGTATCTAGTTCCGTTGCCGCCCAATCTTCGCCGGTGTCCTCGAGCTGCAGTAATCTCTTAATTGACGACTGGACCTCGCAATCGCGACTGACATTTCTTTACTACAACGCCATGTTACAGCCCAGTAGTGACGATAGCACGATGAAAGAGATCAATGTCTCCGGAAATAGGGTCACGCTGAAGCCCAACGGCGGGGATTCATACTTCTACAGCAAGGTTGCCTGCACCAACACACAGGTGAAGGGATACGGCGGTATTTCCTTGCGCATCAAGGCCAAGGCCGGTACGACCTTATCCATTCAGCTGGCGTCGTCACCAACGTGCGGGGAGGACTCTGCCTTCGCTACCAAGACATCAAAGGAACTCGGGTGGACATTCAACGGCCAAGAGAAGCTCTACAGCATCCCCTTTTCCAAGTTCTCGGGTGCCGACCTATCCAAGATGACGACGATTCTTTTTGGTTCGTTGTCCTCGGATGTGACTTTCGGCCCGATGGCTTTCTACTGCGGCAACACACCATCCGAGTATATTATCGCGACTCAACCAACCGACACTGCTGCTGTCTCAACCGTCGCTGCCCCGAGCAGTACTGGCTCGGCCAAGGTTGTTGATAACTTCTCAAAGAAGGACTCCAACTCTCTTGGCTACTGGCATGGGGGTGACGTCGATACTGCTCTCACTTGGGGCACGAACAGGGTCACCATCAAGGCGCCAGATGCCGACTTCTCCTTCTACACGCAGCTCTCCGATAAGTGTGCCGACATGACCAGCTATGACGGTTCTTATCTCCATGTGGCCTACTCTGGAAGTAACAAGTTCTCGATTGCTATGCAACAGCACAACCAAGCTTGCGACGAGACTGCCTCGCCCTTCCCTGAGACATGGGATTCTCTTGAGGCTGCACGTTACGCAACTGGCAACGACATTTACATTCCCATCTCTCATTTCAACATCCAGCGGAAGCGTGCTATAGGTATCGCATTCAAGGGTTTCTACACCAACGAGGCTGTCACCTTGACAAAGGTTGAGATCGTTCCGTCCGTCCCAGCCAAGGTTTTGATCCCAGAGAAGCTGCCGTCTGGGAATCTCATCTTTGCCTGCAAGCGTCCTAACTCGATCGCCTTTGCTATTGATGATGGCGACCCGAAGTTCGCCCAGGAGGTCATGGAAGTTATCAAGTCGGAGAACATCAAAGTAACCTTCTTCACTGTCGGTGCACCTCTGCGGGACTCTAGCACCAATCTGAGTGCCATATACAAGGACATGATGAGCCAGGGCCACCAGATCGCCCTTCACAGCTACACACACCCTCGTATGGAAGGTCTGCCTAATAATGACGCGATATCTTGGGAGTACGACCAGGACATCAAGGCTGTTCAGGACATGTTTGGCATCACCACGAAGTATTTCCGACCTCCCTTCGGTAACGAAGGTGCTCGCATGCGTCAGCAACTTGTTAGATCCACGAAGGATGACAGCCCTTACATCGTCAACTGGAACATTGACGTCGAGGATTGGCTCTACGCTCAGTCGGACACTCCCGAGAAGCAACTGGACTCTTTCCAGCGCGACCTGGACAAGGGCGGCTCCCTGGTTGTCATGCACTACCTGTACCCCAGCACCGTCTCCTACTTGAGGACATTCATTCAGAAGGCGAAGGCAACTGGGAAACAACTGATGAGAGTCGACCAGTGCATGATGGATCCTAATGCCCCGCCTTTGTAAGGCTATACTTGGTCACTCACTATTATCATGATATCGTTCGATCGCAGGAAGAGGTTTACCTTGTTTTACTTGGAGCGTCATTTCAACGCATATTGTACATAACATTTATTCCATCCACCTATTTAATACCACTTCACTGTTTTACAAATGTATTCATCTGGGTACGCGTCTTTCTACCGTTCCACGATCCTGTTTCCCGCAAACGATTAAGTGTATGCGATATCCCGGGACCCGAGTGTGACCCATAATCTCTTCAGCACGCACCCCGGATTCCAATAAATGCCTGTTCTCCGTTTTCCTAGCTTCTAGAATGTAGAAAGTCTCTTTCGTTCTTCGACAGCGCCTCCGAAAATATCCATAGTATCTAGCTATATATCTTGTCATCTGGCGGCACTTTCATTTGTGCAGGCATCAACCCCCTTCCCGATCGGCTTCGGAAGGGGAAACTAATTGGTATCATCGCCTCCAGACTGGTCTCGGTCGATGAAAGAAAAAGTGGCCCGCTATCGCCTGGTTGAGGTTCCTGCGAAGACATGCCTGGACGAAAGGCAAGTCAATATGCGATCTCCCAACTTCCTGTATGATGGAGTCATTGACACGCTACTCAATGTGTGAATGCCCGATCCTCAATGTTCACGAAAACGTCACAGTCGCGACGATATCCCAGTATATTACTTATCGCAATACGGCCGTTCCATATTAATCTTGAAAGTTTGCTTCATCCTAGAAACCGCCATTTGGCTGGTTAGAGGTGGTTCTTTGCATTTCTAATGCTTAACCCAAGACCCGCGTGTCTACAGACTCATCGATTATGGCCAAGAGTATGCAAATGCTGACCCACATGCCGTTTCCTGACACTCTTCTCGTCCCGTCGCCACTGTTCCGCTCACATCCCTGTCAGGGACTGTGACCTGGTCTTGATTCTTCGTGACTTTGCTCCAACCCAGTCCGTCCGACACGATGTCAGAATGAATTCTCCCGTTATCTTGTGCGGTCTGCCTCTCCATGTTCCCACAGATTTGAATGGTATATTGCACGAGCTGGGAACAGGTGACTGGCTGACCGCCTCGACTCCTCTCCTCGGAGAACACCTGAACCTTCTCCTTGCAATGCTGAATGATCCGCTGGTGTCCGATCTGATACAGGAGCCGAATCTTTTCCAGGCTTACCGCTAGATGATCTTCTTCAATATAGATGGAATCAACCCCCCACGCGACAAGTATACCTATCGTGGTAGACTTGGCGCATCTCATCGCCAGGGCCTCGAGGCCTTGCTCCTTTCTCATCGCAGAGAGTCGGTCAATCAGAGTGTTCACAATCTTGAGATTGTGAGTTGAAGGTTGGTGGTTGAGCGTGACATCATCTTCATTGGGTTTGTTGGCCAGTTTGATGTTGTGTGACTTGGAGGAATCCGATGCGTGCTTGAACATCATGACAGTCTCGCGGTGCTTTTTCCCGATGCGCTTGACGACTTGGAATGCATCTCTGTCACGGTCTTTGAATGCCTTGGTGTGGGCGTCGAGTATCTCCATGAACGTTACTCCGGTTTTGGCCGCACATAGTTCCAAGACCTGCTTCTCTGCATGTGCCAATATTTTCCAATAGTTGTCGGCGAGCTTTGATGCAATCATATCGGTGTTGCGCTTGACCAACCGCTCATTGCAGATGATGTCTTCTCCGACCTCACTCGCTACTTGCCCGTCCAAGGCTTCCCTGAGCTGCGCGGCAACTTTATTCCATCGATTTCCGGATTTTCTCTCGGTTTCATGCATATCACTCATGAAATTCTCAGCAGTCTCGAGGTCAAGGAGTGGGTGCAGGCCGAGAAACTTCGTGAGGAGAAGGTGGTGGCTCATGTGAAAGAAGAGAAGACCAATCTCTCTGGAAATGTTCTGGTTATAGTGGGCAGTCATCTTTTTCGTTCTCTCTTGGGCATCGAGAAAAAGGTCGTCGATATCAGCCACCGGAGGGATTTGGCCCTTCGGAACGAAATGTTCACAGATGATTGCCCGAAGATGCTGATGACGATGGCTTATCTGACGAGCGACAGTGCAAGTGATTTTGGCTTCCAATGTGTGAGAAAGCCGACGGTCAGCGAGAAGAGCTTCGATGTCTTGGCGAGGCATCGGTGCCATGAATTCGTTCTTGATTTGCTTCACCCGGTCTCTTATCGTCGCGACTTCTTCTCGCTTCATTTGGGCTAGGCGTTCCTCTAACACGTGAGGAATGTCAAATGTGAGTTGAGAATCCTCCATCGTCGCTACTTGACCGAAAGTATTGCCGAGTAGTCAGGGGCTGGCATTGCGATGTCGAAGGTACTTGGAGAGGTGAGACGGAAAGAACTGCTGCTGTTTTGGGGAGTGAAGAATCTCTTTGCTGAGCTGACCTTCGTTGGGTATGGCAATGTGAAGCTCCCAGGGTCTTTGTAAAAGAGGTGGGTGGCAAAGTGAAGTATGTTAGCTTGAGAGGAATATGTTGCGTTGAATGGTCGGACAACCATGATGCTAAGATTAGGAAACAGTATAGGGTAGGTCCCATCCTGACTTATAAGATAGTGAGTTGCTACTTTAAGCAGGTGTGATATGTTTAAGAAGGAGCTTATAAGGCTGAGATAGGTTACTATTAAAGGCCTTTAGAAACTTTTAAGAAGATAAGCTTACTATATATAACTTAAAGATTCTACTTTGTTTTATAGATAAATAAATCTTAATATAATTAAGTATTAATACTTAGTTATTTCTAACTATATAGAATAAATTAAATAAGTAATAAAAGAGAGTAGAATTTTTAGAATTTTTAATAATTTTAACTTAAAAATAAGAGGATAAATAAGTAATTTGTTATAAATATTAAGTGTTATTATAAGAAGAAATAGCTTATATAAGTGAATAGAAGTTTAATTAACTTATAAAAAAGATTTTAAAGTAGAGAAATAATAAATATATTTATTTTTATAAATTTTCTATTTCTCTGAATA